GCACTCTCATCTAAGAGAGGCTTCCTGACTCAGCTTTAGCTGCAAAACCTTGCAGTTCTTTTAAGAGGTCCTGGCATGAAACACTTAAACAGTGTTGGTACAAAAGGTGACCACATGCTTTTTGGTTTTCAGCCATAGCAGGAAGCTTTCTGGGCCATGTTGCCAGCTCAAATTCTGATTCTTTGAGTCAGGAGGACTGGCTACAGAGAGAGCATTTGAGTGTTGTTTGTGGACACACTGTTGCAGCTTGCTTGCTGACAAGGACCTTAAAATGCCATAGAGTTGTGGCAATAAACATGGCTCTGGCCTGTATATTCACCATGAGCCTGGAATTTCAAAAAGCCAAGAAATGGGCTGGATCCAGCTGTCAAAGTCACAGCTTTAATCCTAGCCTTATTGCCTAGTAAATTAAAGACTCATGTGGTCAAAAAAAGAGAGAGAGAGAGAGAGAGAGAGAGAGAGATACAGTAAAGATAAATTCAAATGAAAAAAAATGGCCTCTAAATGGTTTACTGTGTTTAAAAATATATGCAAGCTTGGAAGAGTATAGAAAAAGTTAAAGTCCTTAAAATAAAAAAGAAAGAATAGTTGGGTTTGGTGGTATGCACCTTTAATTCCAACACTTGGGAGGCAGAGGTAGACATATCTCTGTGAATTCAATGTGTGGTGGTACACACCTTTAATCCCAGTACTTGAGAGGCAGAGACAGGTGGATCACTGTGAGTTCAAAGACAGCCTGGTCTACAGAGTGAGTTTCAGGACAAAGATACACAGAAAGCCTGTCTCAAAAAGCCAAATATTAAAGGTAAAAATAAAATAAATTGAAGTTAAAATAAAACCATGTAAAGATGAAAAATGCACAGAGAATCTTGATATTTTGTTTTTATGCTCTCTTTGAATTATTTGAATGCTGAGGAAGGAGCAACAGCTGCTAAAAAGATATTTGTTTATAAATGCTGCTGAATTAATCCAAGATAGGTATTTTGAAAATACCTTGACTTCAAAATGGAGGTCAAAAGGTGTGTTACTTTGGAGAAGAGATTTTGCTTTTGTTTCCACAGGAAATGAGAGGCTATGAATTCATTCTGAGTTAAGAAAAATCAGGTTTGATCAAGGAAGACAACCTCAGAAATCTCTGGTAGGAACAGATAGTCCAGATGTCTGAGTTCTACAACTAGAACAGATTCAAGACTGCTGCTTGAGATGATCAACACTCACAAGATCCTTCAGTCAGGACTTGATCATAATTCAAAATATAAGATTCAGTACCCCCAACCATCAGGAAGTAGCCTGAAATACTCCACCCTCACTCCCCCACAAATGGACTATGGATATTTTCCTTTGTAAAAAAAAATATAGGGGGAATTAGTATGGGACAATTTGTTATTCTGAAAATATTGTCTTAAATAAACACTGATTGGCCAGTAGCCAGTCAGGAAGTATAGGCAGGACAACCAGATAGGAAGTAGAAGCAGGTCAATGAGAACAGGAGAATTCTGGGAAGTAAGAAGGCCATTCCTCCTGAGTTCTGTCTAGACACCACAGAGGGAAGATGTGCCCTGCCCTGCTGAAAAGGTACCGAGCCATGAGGTTGACATAGATAAAAATAATAGGTAAATATAAGTTATAAGAGTTAATAAGACTCCTGAATTAATGGGCCAATCAGTTTATCATTAATGTAGACTTCTGTTTGATTCTTTGGGATGTAACGACTCTGGGAACCTGTCAGGACAGAAACTTCAGTCAACAATAGGAAATCTATGAAGGTGAGTAATTTCAACTGTGTACTAGGAGGAGGAAATAGCAGTGGTGAATTTTGCACTCACTAGTCAATTGTTTGTCAACATCACTACTTGCACACACTGTCAACATTGACACTCAGATCAGAGGAAAATTTTGCCATTCCTCTGAGCCTGACCATGTCAGTGTCATGTCATTCTCTTGATTCTGAGACAGTGGTCTTTGATATGGTGTACACATGTGAACAAAATACTCATGACTTTATCGGCTCTTTACATATTTAAACAAGGTTTCCATAGCTCTCTATACAGATAAGATAAACTGATACAGAGAGATGATTAATAATGTGTTAGTGAAATCTATAATAGCAAGTTTCTCATAGTTTTTAAGGCCTTGTAGTCCAGTTTCATGATATCAGCATCTGGCAAGAGATCTGACATACAGAACAATATTTAAGAATATTGAGTATTAGACATAAGAACTTTATGTCCATGCTAAGTTAAAGTGGCAGTCATGCACTGTGAAGAACAACTGTTCTCTTCAAATTTCAGAGCATGGAAAATTAAACCATTGAATAAAGATACTGTGAGGTTAACCACCTCTGATCACTAGGTCTGTAAGTCTTGAAGAGTTTAATAACCTCCTACCATATTGTTTTGCATTTGCATGTTTTCTGACTCTGAACTGACTGCCATTTCAGGAGTTTATCTTGCATGTACCATTATTAAAACAAAAAGTTTAATATTATTTAATCTACATCTGTAACAAGTTTTGAGAAAGTCAAGGTTGTCCTGTGTATGGTTCAAATGCAGATATTCCAACATCTTTTATTCCATAGAAACCCCATGTTGTACAATATTTGTGTAGAATTTAATGGTGTAGTCATAACTTCAATATTTAACTTAAATTCAGAAACAAAAGTCCATGGTCCCAGTATACTCATATGTGTTCCTAAGGAGAGGCTGTTATGTGGACACTTCATTTACCACCCTTTCTTCCTGCAGAAACAAATAAAATGCGTCCTTGTCTAAGTAACAATGCATTTAAACTATGCCACCAAAGCATGTGTAAAGTTAGAACAGTGGCAGTGAGTCTGGAATGTTTCTGCCACAGGCTCTTTTGACACCTGTTGACCAAACACCCTGAGAAAATCTTGGGAGCTGAAGATGCTTAGGTTCTGGCACATTCCTTCCCCAAAATAGTTTTTATCAAATCACTATTCCCAAAGAAGTAGCAGCATGGGAGGACTCCCGACTGGATGGCTCAGCAACTGTCCTTAATGGATGGCACATTGTCAGTGATTAAATCCTCTTTGGGGCCAACAACTGATTTTTTCCTTTGCTCCACTCTTCTTTTCTGCTTTTCTAGGGAATGAGAGTCCATACATCCCAGGCCACTTCCTTGAAGCAGTCACTGAAATGACCACAGAGCTGTCTGCAGTTGTCCAATAGAGACCACGATGCTTCAGAGTTAAGCATTTCCTCATCAAGTCCATCCATAACTGGGCGAAAAGCAAACTGAAAAAGAAAACTGTTAGATTTGATTTAAGTCCAATAAGTATCAAAGCCTCTTTTAAATATCCATTTGTCTTTGTAGATTTATTCTTCTCATCTACTTAAAAAAATGAAGAAAATCAAAGTATCTCTCTCAATAATTCATTACCTTTTTATCGACTCAATTTTAAATGTGAAAACTTCAGCTATATAAATGATGTTGATGTTATTAAGTAATGCATTCATTCTATAAGTGAGAAACCTTCCTGACTCCATTTTGAAAGAAGGAGCCATTATGCTATATTTTTTAAAAATTAGGTTTCTATTTACTGTGAGAGTTGAGTTATTTTCTGTTTTTTGGAACCTCACTTTCCCAAATCCATGACATTGATTTGTTTTTGAGAATGCCATTACCGTCTCTGACCCTCCCTGACCCTTCCCTAAGCACTTGGTGGGTGACCATATGATTTTTTTAAGACTTTTTTTTTATTTTCTTATTGCCTCATATTGTTACGCTTGTGTAAGACTACTCATGATTTTACTCTTAAAGGACTCAGAGATGAATTCAGGAGTGCTCTCTTTAACCTGACATAGGAGGCAGTAGCAGGACAGCACTGAGGTTACCGCAATAAAAATTAAACACCAATAAAAATCAAATTCAATAAAATTATACTAGTAGAGTAGTTTTGATGACTAAGGATGCTGACCATTTCCTGAAGTGTCTTTTAGCTGTTTTAGAGTCCTCTGTTGAGAGTTCTCTGTTTATGTTTGTACTCCATTGTTTTTGAATTATTTGTTCTTTTGATGACCAATTTATTGAGTTCTTTGGATATTTTGGAGATCAGCCCTCTGTCTGATGTGGGCTTAGTGAAGATCTTTTCCTATTCTGTAGGCTGTCATTTTGTCCTGTTGACTGTGTCCTTTGCTTTACAGAAGCTTTTTAGTTTCAGGAGGTCCAATTTATTAATTGTTACTCTCAGTGTCTGTGCTGCTGGGGTTATATTTAGGAAGTCGTCTCCCATGCCAATGCATTCAACTGTACATCCCACTTTCTCTTCTACAAGGTTCAGTGTGGCTGGCTTTATGTTGAGATCTTTGATCCTTGACTTGAGATTTGTGTGTGGTGATAGATATAGGTCTATTTTCACTATGCGTTGCTGGTGGAAATACAAGCTGGTAGCGCCACTTTGGATGTCAGTGTGGTGATTTCTCAGAAAATTAGGAAACAACCTTCCTCAAGAACCAGTAATACCACTTTGGGGTATATATCCAAAGGATGCTCAATTGTGCCACAAGAACATGTGCTCAACTATGATCATAGTAGCATTTTTTTGTCATAGTCAGAAACTGTAAAAAACCTAAATGCCCATCGACTGAAGAATGGGTAAGGAAAATGTGGTTCATATACACAATGGAGTACTACACAGCAGAAAAAAATAATGACATCTTGAATTTTGCAGGAAAATAGATGAAGCTAGAAAATATTATTTTGAGTGAGGTAACCCAGAAAGACAAATATCATCTGTACTTAATCATAAGTGAACATAAAGCAAACATAAAGCAAAGAAAACCAGCCAACAAATCACAATTCCAGAGAACCTAGACAACAATGAGGACGCTAAGAGAGACATACATAGATCTAATCTACATAGAAAGTAGAAAAAGACAAGATCTCCTGAGTAAATTGGGAACTTGGGCACCTTGGGAGAAGGTTGAAGGGAAGGGGAAAGACAAGGAGGGGATTAGGAAAAAAAAAGTAGAGCTCAACAAAAATTAATAAAAAAAAATCTGCCATCCAAAAGTATGTTTTCCCTTACCTGTGAGGAGATCCTTGCTACTTACAACGTGACAAATATGACTTCTGACAATTCAGAATCATCAGAAAGTAAAGGAGACAAAGCCTTTAGGTCTTATAAATTTCAGATCTATCAAAGTAAATTAAACTATTATACAATAGTGAATAAAGACATTATAGAGAATTTTTGAAAGTGATGAAAAAGATATTCAGTCAGAAAGTGGAAGACAGGAATTGTAGGGCTGGACAGAATGATTAAGTTGAATTGTTGTGTAGGTCAGAACAATTTTTAACGAAGCTAAGGTAAAGAAACAAACTACATGAAGCCCAGTGGTGAAAGCACTGAGAGAAAAAAAGGATGAAATTACACCAAAGCTCGCCAAAAAACAAATAAGGTCAAAACTAACAGTTACAGTGATAAACTTGTCAAATAAATAGTATTATTATTATTAATAAAATAATAATATTTTATTATTTATTTATTATTTATTATTTATTTTTATTATTTTTTTCTTATAACTAAATCTCAAAGCTTTCACAAACAGACTCTTAAATTTACCTATACCAGGTACTTTATATTGTGTCTTGAATAATCTCCACTGAGCTTACTGTGCTCTGACTTGAGTCAAGGTCTTTGTTATAGATGTTGTGATTTATGAAATATCCGTACTACCTATTGGTCTTTGAAATATGGTTACATTAACCTACACTTGAATTTCTCCAAACTCTGCACCTTTCCTTTCCATTATTATAAAACAAACTTATGCTTTAAGTTTATGATATTTATGAACATCTTTTTTGAATTGAATGCATTTTTTTACCTTTTTCCAGAAATTTCAAAATATTTCTAGCCAAAGTCTGGTGGACGCCATCAATGACTGTTACGATGGCTACTTCCAGGAGCTGCTGGTTGCAATTGGTAAGCTGTATTGTTTTAAAATGAACAACAGACCTTACATTCCACAGTCAATACTGACCAGTTCTGAATGGATTAAGTGTGCATGAGTAGGTTTTTTAAAGCATTTTTCTCCATGAAATTTTTTGAAAGTTCTATAAACTCCAGAAAAGTCCATGAGCTAGTGGTTTGTTGCAATGGCAATCTGGAGACATTAATGAATTACCATAATTCCCTAAAATAGGCTCTACTTTTCTATGACAGAAGGGAATCCTCAAAGGCCCTGTCTCAGGAAGCAACTTGTCACAGGTTTAAATCTATGATAGGATCATTGACATCCACCCCTTTTTCAGGAACAGATAAATGCTAATAGTGTGACTATATTCTTGTCTCCAAGAAGAAAGGATATTTTCAAATTTTGCTTTTGATTATTTTTATTATTTTACTGTCTTTAATAAATTTGCTTTCAGGAACAAATCATATTATCAAAAAAACTTAAATTGTGAAGTAGCAGTGAGTCCCAGAAGCCTGCCTCCTGACTGTTATCTAAAATGATAAGCCCACTATAGAAATGGCCTTTGCTCTAATTCATAGAGACTATTCCAGTGTTCATGTTTTACAAAGTAGTCTGTGGCTTTACCATCCACACTTCAGGAAAGGTACGTGAGGAGTCATTGTGAAATGCTCCGTAATAGGTTTAGAAGACGAATACTTATTAGTTTCCATTCCAAGAAAGTCTTGACACAGAGTTGAGAGGTCACAGTATTTTTATGAATTATCCAGTAAGCAAATGTCCAATGAAAATGATTTGGTGGGTTTTATGAGACCCCAAAAGATGAGTGATGGAATTGGTTTTTAGTAAGAATGCTTCTGAGGAAGAAATACATTTTTGTTCTGTCATATTCCCAATAGATTTAATAGGCATTCATCGCATGTCAGCTAATTAGCAACAGAGTTAGAATAGAACTTAAATCATTGAATACTCAAAGCAGCCCAAACAGTGGATATGAGGGGAACAGAGAGCGGACATCAGGAACACCAGGAAAGACTTAGCTGGTTCATTCCATCAGTCAATATTGAATTATTGGTTACTAGTCTCTAATTGGGTACCTGAGGTAGAATATCAAAGCAACAAAATAAAAATAGCAACAGATGTCCAAGCCCCCTGGGAACTTGCCTTCTAGTAGAGACTTAAGGTTAGTTATTAGGTTTACTCCTCTCTGTACTGAAAGTAAGAAAAAGATGAAGATATGGTCTCATAATCAAAACAATTACTTAAAGAAAAGCTAATAAGATTTTATTTGGAAGAAACAATATAGCGCCTCATTTGTTACTTATGTATGTAATGAATCTATGTACTTTTTCAAACATGACTATTTGATGGTCTACAGTCTCAACGGATACCACAGGGACATCTGTTGGGGAGGCTCCAGGCTATTTAAATCCACGGTAAGCTTAGTCAAATAATATCCAAAACTGGAGAAGAACACTTTACATTTGTTACAGCTTCTCCTTAAAGGATGTCTCATCTGGTTACAAATCTGTAAGGAATCTGATGCCACTCAAAGAGCTCCTGGTCTAGATCAGTTTTAAAGACTACATGAATAGGCGGCAACCAGGAACATAAATATATTGTATGTGTTAGCTTTTTAATATTTAACACACACCATTTTTGTGTATATGTTTTTCAAGACAAGGTTTATCTCTACATTTGGAGCATGTCCAAATGAAATTAGCTCTTGTAGACCAGGTTGGCCTCGACCTCACAGAAATCTGCCTGCATCTGCCTCCCTAGTGCTGGCATTAAAGGCATGTGCCACTGTAACATGAGGGGGCAGGCTTGTTGGGGTTACTGTCCCTCCCAGTACCCCAACAGCCTGCAAGCAACAAAGAAAATAACACAGAGTCTACATTAGGTTATAAAGCTGATTGGTCCATTAGGTCAGGCTACTTATTAGTTCTTATGACTTATCTTAACCCATTATTCTGGTCAATGTTAGCCACACGGGCTCAGTACTTTTCTCAGTGAGACAGCTTGCATGTTGCTTCTTCGGTGATCTGGACAGGAATGTCGGAGGGACCTTCCTCCTCCGTAGCCTTATTCTATTCTCATTGCCCCACCTCTACTTCCTGTGTGGTTGGCCCGCCTATACTGCCTGCTTGGCCAATCAGCATTTTATTAAAATATGATTGTCAGAATACAGATAATTCTCCCGCATCATTTCCCTCTTTTTTTTAAAAAAAAACAAAGGAAAATACCCATAGTCCATTTGTTGGGAATGTGGGCATAGTATTTCAGGCTACTTCCTGCTGGTTGGGGGCGCAGATAATCTTATGGGGACCTAAAGAAAATTTACAGTTATAATCAAGTCCTAACTGGAGTATCCTGTGAGTCTTGATCATCTTAGGCAGCAGTCTTGAACCTGTTCTGAATGAAGAACTCAGACATCTGGGCCATCTGTTCCTGTCGGAGATTTCTCAGGTGGCCTCCCTTGATCAAAGCTGATTTTTCTTAACTCAGAATGAATCCGTAGCCTCTCATTTTCTGTGGAAATAAAAGTAAAATCTCTTCTCCAAAGTAACATACCTTTTGACTTCAGTTTTGAAGCCAAGGTATTTTCAAAATACCTAACTTGGGTTAGTTCAGCAGCGTTTATAAACGAAAGTCCTTTAGTAGCTGTTGCTCCTTCCTCAGCATTCAAACAATTCAAAGAGAGCATAATAGCATACAGTATCAAGATTCTTTTTTTTTTAAAGTAATTTTATTAAATTATAAAAGTTTCCATTTACGCCCCTCTTCCCAACACCCTCCCACTCCACCCCCTCCCTCTCCTCCTCCCTCTTTGTCCCTAAAGGCAGTCAGGGTTTCCTGCCCTGTGGGAAGTTCAAGTTCCTCCCCCCTCCCTCCAGGTCCAGGAAGGTGAGTATCCAAGCAGACTGGATCCCCAAAATCCAGTATATGCAGAGGAAAGATGTCCCAGTGTCATTGTCAATGGCTTTTCAGAAAGACTCCGGGCCAGCCACATTCAGAGAATCCGGCCACATTCAGAGAAACTGGTTGGATCACGTCCTCGTTCAGTCGCAGTCCAGCTGGCCTTGGTAAACTCTCATTAGATCCGTCCCCTGGTATCAGTGGGTGATAACATCCCTCACAGACATTATTTCCTTTTTTCATTTTCTTCCTCCTTCTGCTCCACATTTGGACGTTGGGGGGCTGAGTCTGGTGCTCCAATGTGGGTCTCCGACTGTATCGCCATCCATCGCCAGATGAAGGATTTATGGTGATAAGCAAAATATTCATCAGTATGGTTATGGGCCAAGGCCGGTTCAGGCACCCTCTCCTCTGTCCAGAGAACAATCTGGGGATCTCTCCTTGGACCTGGGATCCCATATATAATTAAGTCTCCTGTAAACCCTAAAGTGACTCCCTTAGTTGAAATATATTCTTCCCTGATCCCATATTCAACCTTCCTTCCACCCCCCCATCCCAGTCAACCGAGCTTTCTCCATTCCTCCCCTCCTCCCTCCTCCCTAACCCTCTCCCCTTCCAACGCCCCTCCCA